GCTCGTGCGACGGGCCTTTAAAAACAACAACAACAACAACAACAACACCACCACCACCACCACCAGCAGCAGCAGCAGCAGCAGCAGCAGCAGAGCAGCAACAACAACAACAACAACGAAAAAGACAAAGACGACAACAACAACAACAACAACAACAAAGACAACGACAACGAAACAACAAAGACGACAACAACAACAACAAAGACAAAGCTGCTGCAAAAAGACACGCCACTGTGCCACTGAGCAAAAAACAGAAAGAGACTGAGAGACAGACAACGAAAAAACTAAAAAGCAAACGCCAAACGATCGAGTGATCACCAAAAGCATGAACGAGACACCACCAACACAAGATCAACAAAAGCAATACATGACAACAAACACTGAGACATCACCCGCAAGCATGACCAAGATATAACCAAGACACTACGAGACACCATCCTTCCGTGTCTTTGTTTATCCTTTTGATCTCAACATCCACTTCTGGCAATGTGTCCGGTGTGAAATGTAGCAGTCATGTGAGGACATCCATGTGCGACACAATAGATGTGGCATGTGCATACCGATCGAGGCCGTACGGCACATGAGAAAAAGGTGCGAAGTAGCCCTGGTAGCGGAGCCCGGTCGTTGCCGCTCGTGCCCGTCGTCGATGCACGAGGGGTAGCGGCTGGGCTCCAATCCATGGCGCAAGATGGTTCAGGAGGTGCAAGCACCAGACTGGAGCGTTTTGATGGTTCTGATCCGAGCCTCTACAAGAGGTGGCGACGTCGTGCGGCGCTGATGATCATCAGCCTGCCAAATACATATCCTGCTGAGAAATATGGCCCGAAATTGGTCGAGTTCTTGTCAGGAGAGGCCGAGCTGGCGGTGGAACATATTCCCATCGAAGACTTGGCCAAGAGTGGAGGCGAGCGTCTGGTGTTCAAAGCATTGGATGAGCGCTATAGGCTATAGGCTATAAGCCTTTAGAGAAGGACGACATGAATGAAGCCCTCAAGGAATTTTTCTTTGAAACGGCCATTCGGTCGGGAGAGACGATGAAGGCATTCATCACCCGCTTCATTACGGTGGAGCGCAAACTACGTGAGCAGGGAGTTGAGCTTCCGTCTGAGGTCAAGGGTTGGTTCATGCTTCGAAAGCTTCACCTCGACCACAACCGACCAGGAGGCTATGATTTTGACAGCGACTCGTGGTTCTTTCAAGGTGGAGGAGGTGTCACAAGCTGTGAAGGCCATTCCGGCCAACTCCAAAGGAAACAACAAGCCCGTGCAGAAGGACACCTTTGTGGCCGACGAGGACACGAGCGAGCTGACATCAAGCTCATGGGATGAGGACCAGGAGGTTCTCCAGGTTCTTGCAGTGGAGATGCAAGAGCAAGAAGATTACGATGAAGAGGCCATTCTGGACACTTTTGAGAGTTGCAAGCAGGTGAGAACCACGATGCAGGAAGTTCGGAAGGCCCGGGGCTTTCGTCCTGAGACGTCGACGTCAAACTCAAGCCAACCATGGAAGCTACAGGGAACCATCTCTGCAAAGCTTCAACAAGTGAAGTCTCGAACGCGCTGCCATCGCTGTGGACAACTCGGTCACTGGCGAAGAGAATGCCCGTCACGAAGTGCAGGTAAGGGCGGCAATCGAGGATCCTCCTCATCTGGTGCAAGTCAGAGCACGTCGAAAAGAGGTGCACATCGTGGAACATGACTGGCCTGAACAGGAGGATTACGACGTGTTGCTGAATCAGGCAGCTGACGAGATTGAGCTTGGATTGAACGCCTTCATGATCCAGGGTAGCAGAGAGAGGGTGACTTCGCCGCGCTTCGTCAGACTTGACCCGTGGAGCGGCCCTGTGCATTCGGTTCCGACAGAACAGAGCAGTACGGCCTTGAGCCAAAAGTACAGAGTTTGTAGATCATGTACAGATTCATGAGATTTTCCAGCTTGAGCAGGCAGACTCCTCGTTGAGAACGGAATACACGCCTGCGGCCCTTCAGACTCATGGGGTACCAGACACCGCTTGCCGTAGATCCCTAGTTGGGGAACATGTTCTTCAACGAGTTGAAGAACATTGGAAGGGACATGGTAGGACGGTGCAGCGTCGGGAAGCAACGGCCACTTTTCGATTTGGGAATAACGGTAGTTTGCAGGCTAGGGAGGTTGCTGTGATTCCGTGTCAGATCTCGGGTAGGCATGTTTTGATTCAGGTGGCAGTGCTTCCAGGCAGTGGTGCAGAAACTCCCCTGTTGCTGTCCAAGGAACTTTTGAAGGATTTAGGAGCGACACTGGACTTCGTGAATGACACCATGAGTTTCGCACGCCTCGGAGGACAACCAGTTCGGTTAGGAACTACTAGTAAGGGGCACTATGCTTTACCTCTTTTTGAGTTTTCACACACACAATGCACAACACAGTCACGTTTCTGATCAAGAGGCAGGTGCAGCGATCAACGAGAAAGATTGCCATGTCATACACCGGCAGCCCCGATCGACTGAGCCCAGACAGTCAGCAGTGGCTCAACACGTTGAACCTGGGACATGTGCTCCCCATGAATCAGCATGTGGACCAACAGTACGATTCGGAGGACGACTCACCACGTCGTCCCCAGATCCCAGGAGACACAGTCATGATGGAGGGAAGTTCAAGACCAAGCCTCGTGCACCAGCGAACACCTTCCGCTACATCTACACGTGTCAAAAGAACTACACGGGGTGGGTACGATCTCACATCGGAGAGGGCAGCTCAGCACATCTCAGGACCTTCAAGGCCTATGTCGAGATGCGGGATGCCAAGATGATGACACGATTGAACGAGGTGGCACATCAGAACGGTCGCAACATGAATTTCCACTCGTCGGGCATTGTGCAAGGAGCCAGACCACAGGGAGGAGCGAGTGCGGAGTACACGGTACAGCAGATGGTCGTACCGCCACTCCCCATTCGCAGCCCTCCTCCGCAGACTCCATCGCAGAGGAGTGTGCAGAGCTGGCAGGTAGTGAGTGCGGCACCATGCAGCACCTATGCTCCACCAAGTCCAAGCCCGAAGATGACAGCAGGAAGCATGGGACGTCGTCGACGCATGAGGGACGACGACATGGAAGTGGACGCCAACCGAGCCAAGAAGATTCAGGACACCTGGACAGTGTGGACTATGGAGCTGATGAACAAGAACGAGGAAGCTCGAGAGCATGTGGAAAAGGAGACCATGTGGTTGCAGAACAGTGCAGGAGGACCACAGAAGGTTGCTCGCATGTTCTCTCGCCTTGCCGTGCAGGGGACCAATCTGCAGCTCCAGGAGGAAGATCAGTAAAAGTGGCAGAGCCATCAGATGGGTCAGTGGGCACAGATGAATCAGATGATTCACGGTCCAGAGAGGCCGAAGTCACAGACCTGTCAGAACAGAATATGAACCGGAAGACACGCCGGAAGTTGCGTAGGATCGTGGAAGCACTTGAAGACTTCGATTGCTACGCATCATGGCAAAAGAGCGAGCAGACAGCACGGTGGGATGGAGTGGATATTTGTGAGGTTTTCTCAATCCCCCGAGTTTCTCAGATGGGATATTTGCACGGACTCCACGCCGGACCTTGTTATGATTTACAGTTGGGTGATGATTTGTTGGTGCCGGAACATCGCAATCGTGTGTTCCGTGAAATCAGTGAGACCAAGCCCTTTTTGTGTGTGGTTTGTTCCCCCTTGCACCTATTTTTCTACCATCCGGCGTCCGTGTGAGGATCCCTCGAAAGAGAAAGAAGAACGAAGGAAGGCCATGACCCTGCTCCTGTTTGGGGTGGAGGTGTGTCGGTTGCAGCTGAAGAACAGGATATTTTTCCTGTTTGAGCACCCAGAGCATGCTAGGTCATGGAATTGTGATCCTTTGAGGGGTCTTCGTACCGATTCGAGGGTTTTCGAGACGCTCTTGGACATGTGCATGTTCGGCATGTGTGACGTGCAATCAGGGTTAGCTATTAAGAAGGGCACTCGACTAATCGGTAACATGGATGAAAACATCATGAGGCTTTTGAACAAACGCTGCGACAAACGACATGAACATCAGGTTTGCGAGGGACAAGTGAAACATGACGGACACTGGGTGAACCGGACTCGACTG